CGCAGCACTGCAGCACGGCTGGCGCTGGGGGCGTACGGCGCGCGGCAGCAAGCTGAGTTCCTGCAGCTGGTGGCAGAGTTCAAAAAGGAGTACTTCCACTTGCTGGGGTTTGCTGCTCTTTGTCTCAGCCACCTGCCGCAGAGTCTTCCCGCGCTGGCCCTCTTCGTGGATCGTTTGCTGCTGCCGCTGCAGGACGCGCTGCGCAGCATAGCTTCTGTGTCTGCGCGCTTCAAGGGCTTCTCTGTGGCGCTGGCGCAGCAGCAGCTGCTGGGCTGGGTGCAGCAGCTCAGCGCGCTCGACGCTGCGCTGCTGCAGCAGCTCCCGGGCGGCAGCCACGCCCTCAACACGCTCAAGGCTGCTTCCAACTACGAGGCCACTCTCGAGGAAACGGAGAGCAGCTACGGCAGCCAGGAGGGCGAGGAGGCAGCAGCAGCTCTCAACAGCCAGCTCTGACCCGCCGCTGCAGCGCCGCGCGCGCCTGCTGCGGCGCAGCTGCTGCAGCGGCCGCTGCAGCACGCCGCGCGCGACGCGCAACGAGCTGCAGCAGACCGCAGCGCCGCAACACGCGCTGCAGCAGCGAGGGCAGCCCAGCACCCGCCAGCGGCAGCGCAAGCTCCTGCTGCAGCTCATGCAGCAGCACCAGCACCAGCACCACCAGCAGCTCCTGCTGCTGCTGCTGCGGGGGCGCCGTGGCGTCCGCCGCAGCCCCATCGGCAGAGCCCGCTCTTGGCGAAGATGAGAATGCAGGCGATGTGCAAAGAGGTGCAGCAAAGCCACCAACGAAACAGAGCAACCGCGCTGCGGTGACTGCAGCTGGAGAAGCAGCTGCAGCGCCAGCTGCAGCGGCAGCAGCAGACGCTGCGGTGGTCACCTTAGTAGTACCGAAACGACAGGAAACAGCGGCACGCGTAGCAGCTGCACCGGCAGCCGCCAGCTCTGCAGCAGCAGCAGCAGCAGCGGCAGCAGCCACAGTGCCCTGTAAGCAACGTACTTTCAGGCGGGGCCACGACCTGAGCTAGAAGTAGTACGAAAGGGCCTGCTGGGCCCTCAGGTACTCAGTTTGAAATAGTCTTTCGCGCATGCAGCAGCGCGTGGGGCGGGGAAGTTAGTCAGTGAGGGCTCTTCGCGCTGCTGCTGCGCTGGCGCTGCAGCAGCTGCGGTGTACGTACAGCTTTCCAGTGGCGCCTCCCAGCAGGGAGTCGCGGAACGAACAAACTTTGTGCTCCTTGTAGCTACCATTTATATCTCTGACAGCTTCACTGAACTTTTTCGGCCGTGGAGGCCCCCAGACACTCTTTTAGCTCCTCAGCACTAGCGAAAAAAAAAACGAAAGCTGCACTGAGTCGTTGCTGGCTAGACTAGGCAGAGAGCCAGGCTAGGCAGTAGGAGTGCGGGTTGAAAGCGACGCAGCAGCAGCAGCAGCAGCAGCTGCTGCTGCTGCTGCTTAGTGTACAAAAGCTCTCAATAGGACCACCGGCCCTGCAGCTGTACGTACACCCCAACGCTCAGTCGTCTGGCAGGGGCCCCACTTGAGGAGCTTTGAGGCCCTTCACAGCTAGGGTAAAGGACTCCACCTGCTGCATGCAGCTCTCAAAGTCTGCAGCAACTGCCGCCCAAAGCGCCTGCAAAAACAGCAGCAGCAGCAGCAGCGGCAGCGGCGGCAGCAGCAGCGGCGGCAGCAGCAGCATCAGAAATGGCCCCGTTACAGGCGCTTTTGCTGCTGCTGCTGCAACGCAGCAGCAACTGCGCTGTTGCAGCGACAGCAGCAGTGAAACGGAAGCAGGAGCGGCAGCAGCTGGACAACAGCAGCAAAACACCAGCTGCTGCAGGAACTTCAGCCTAAAAGCCTTCCTTACCTCAAGGGAAAAGCCCGACGATAGAAGCGCAGCACTTGCTAGGGACTCGTAGACGTCCCCAAGCTGCTTAATCCACTTCGGCGCATTGCTGCTGTTGCTGCTGCTGCTGCTGCTGCTATCATCCCTGGGTTGTGCAGCAGCAGCAGCAGCAGCAGCGGGAGTGTTGTGAGGGAGCGTCAAGCGTGAGATCAGTTCTGCTGCTTCCCGCGCGAAGTCCTCTTCAGGGGGCAGTTGGACGAGCCGCTGCACAACATGCTTCTTCTTGGTGCTGCTGCAGCGGCGGCAGCAGCAGCAGCAGGGGCCCCCAGCCCGCAGCCCGCAGCCTGCTGCTTCTGCCTGCTGCCACAGGCACGCCAGAAGGCTGCTTCCGGGGGGGGGCCCCTCCCCACAGGCCCCATCCCCGGGGGGCCCCAAGCAGAGACACAATTCGAGCTGGGGGGCCCCTTGCCCGCTCTCGACGATGAGAGAGTCCAGGGGCACTCCTGCTGCATGCAGCCTGCGCAGCAGCAGCAGCAGCAGCAGCAGCAGCTTGGGTTCCTTGTGAAACTGTCAAGTGCCATGGCAGTGTAAGACGAAGCGCTGCAGCAGCTGGCCCTCGCTGGCAGAAACAGCAGCGGGCTGGGAAGACAGTGGAAAAGCAGCAGCAAACATCCTTTTGCTCGAAAAGCAAAACACCAAAATGAAGCAGAAGCAGAAAAGTGAGGAGCAGCGATACGCAGCAAGCTGGAGGCAAGCCCGATGTGTACATACACCTCCAGCGGCACAGCAGCAAGGGGAAACATGAATTCCCGGCAAATGGCGAAAACAAAAAAGACACAAAGAGCAACAGCAGGACACAAGTCTGCAGCTGAGACTCGAAAAGCTGCATGCATAAGCTGAGGAGTTCCAGCTGCTGCTGCTGCTAGTGAGTCTGCGGAGCAGCAGCAGAGCGGCTGAGGCACTCGAAAGCTCAAATCACTTTGCTTCTTTTGAATTCCTTTAAAAAGCCAAACCAATAAGACTTTTCCCGCAGCTGCTGGGCACCTGCGGATCATCTTGGCAGCAAAAAATGCATTCGAAACCAAAATGCTTCTCGCCATTGTCAGGGGCCCCTCGCGGGCTTCTGGAAACCTCCAGAAGAGCCACTCCGACACCAGCAGGCTCAGCGCAGAGTCCCCCAGAAACTCCAGCAGCTGGTAATTTTCTTGGGGGCCCCCTTGGGGGCTCCCTTGGGGGACCCCCGGCACCTGCAGCAGGCTTGCAGCCACAAGGCCTCAGGGCTTCACCAGATAGACTGGGCTCTTAAAGCCGCAGCGCAAACAGACTCACACAGCACTGCAGCAAAGCAGCTAAGAGTAGGGAGACTTGCAAAGCTGTAACAGACTTGCCGTAGGGGCCCCAAATGGCCTTCTATCTAGGGGGGCCCCTGCTGCGCTGCTGCGCTGCTGCTGCGCTGTTGCGCTGCTGCTGCGCTGCTGCGGCGTGCGTTGCTGACCTCTGCTGACCGGGCGAGAGCCACGAGGCGGGGACAGAGGCCCCTTTCCTTCCAAAATGCTGCAGCTGTTTTGCAGTCTAGTGCTTCTTGGGAGTAGCAGCAGTTAAGGAGGTCCCGCGCAGGGGCCAGCCACAAGTCTGAGACAGTCTGTTCTGAAATGCTGCTACCAGCCCCGCTGCTGCTGCAGCAGGAAGCCGGAATCGCAGCAGCCTGCGGCTTGCTGCTGCCTTCGCGGGGCCCCCTCAGCAGCTGCTGCAGCAAAACAGCCACTCGGCGGTCGGGGTGCAGCGGAGTGTGGGGCACTCCTGCTGGCAGCAGCAAAGTGCAGAGAAAGTCCTCTTCTTCTGCCTGTTCAAATGTGTCTTTGGGGTCTCTGGAGGTCCCCTGGGGGCTCAGTGGGGGCCCGCAGCAAATGGCTGCAGAGACTGCTGCTGCAGCAGACAAGACATTAACCACGGGGGGCAGCTGCTTCGCCTTGAGGCCCCTTTCAGGAGGCTCTTGGGACTCCCCGGCGCCAGTGTGGGCCTGGGGCCCCTTCCCAGGCGCTGGGGGCCCCCCCTGCAACACGAACTGCCCAATGAAGGCTGCAGCAGCCAGGAGGCCCCTGAAGGAGCCGGGGGGCCCCTGCGAGCGCTGGGGGGGCCCCCCGAGGGGCGCAGCCTGCATGGGGCCTTGCTGAGCCTCCGAGGGGCCCCGGGGGCCCCCCAAAAGGCCCCTGTTGGACAAGTAGAAAGCTGCGGTGATGGCCTCCATGGCGTCCGCGAGCATCTTGGGGGAAAGGACTTGTTCTCTGAGCCCCGCAAGAGCAGCAGCAGGAATGAAAGGCCTCGAAAGCATGTAGCCCGCGAGGCCCAGCCCGCGGGCGCAGCTGTGGAGGTGGCAGTTGGAAACAAAAGAGCTTTTTTGCTGCGTCAGGGGCCCCTCAGCCTCCCCCCCGAAGTTGCTCAAGAAGCAAAATGCTGCAGCCAC